TGTGTGTGTGTGTGTGTGTGTGTGTGTGTGTGCCCCCACACACCGCACACACAACTCACTCACTCCCCCTCCCTCCCTCCGCCCCCCGCGCCCGTGATGGTCAACCCCATCAATACCGAACAGGGGGAGCAAGCCAACTATCTCAGTAGGTTGGCACCAAGAGTGCCACAGCTGGTCAGTGGGGGTTGAAACCGTAACCTCCTCAATGCCACTTGCGTGCTAGCCAACTGACCTAGGCCGCTTGCTCATCTGCACTTTTCTGATGAAATGCTGTCCTCTTGATCTGGTTGGTGAGCATTCTGAATCTGACTCTAATTTGCTCTGTTGCTTAGTCTGTTTGCCTGGCGACGTGACGTTGTATGTGTGCCCGCATGTTTGCCTTTGATGCCATAAGAACATGCTGTAGGAGGCCTGAGTCTGCGCGCTATGTATGTTCTCCATGCTGCGCGCCTGTGCGTCAGACAAGGGTAGGTTTGTGAACCAGGGGGTAGACTCAGGGACAGGGCTGAAATTGAACTGCAGGAGGATATAGACGAGCTGGTGGGCCGGCTACGGACAGAAATGCATTTGGTAGTGACCTGGTAGGGATATTTGAGTCATACTCTGGTAGGCCCTAAGGTCCAGTGGTCTAGCAGATAGAGGAGAGTCATGGTGGTACTGGCCAGTGCATAGCCAAGATTAAGTCTAGGTACAGGTGGTACAGGTAGGGCTTGCAGTCTGCAGTGGAGGGAGACCAAGATTACGTCTAGGTACAGGCGGTACACGTAGGGCTTGCAGTCTGCAGTGATTTTCCCTCCAAAAGGAGGGAACCAGTACCACAACCAGTGGGTCTAGGAGTAGGCCGAGTGAGGATCCCCGCGGCCGAAGTCGATAATTTATTGTTCAGAGCAGGGAGTAGTTTGGGTATTTCCTGGCAGGCACTCTATTACTGCTCAATCACTAGGTAGAGTGTGGAGGAGCACTTGGGTGATGAGGGAGGAGTTGAAAGTGAGGAAGACGACCTCCATGTCTTGTAGCTATGGAGGTAGGAGGTAGAGGGAGAAAGACCTCCGACCAGGTTATGGGTAGAGCTAGGGAAGGAGCAAGTGGGAGGGAACCAAGTGGCAGAGGAAGATCAAAGAGGAGGAAGGTACACGGAGAAAGAGGAGGAGCAAGGTACAGAGAGGTAGAGGAGGTGTAAGGAGGAGGGAATCAAGAGGAAGACTTATCTTTTTTTGCTATGATGGACCTTCATCTTCGCTTCCCTGATTGGCACTGCATCATGAAGGCCCATGTCCGATTGCCGGCTGAAAAAAAAAAAAAAAAAAAAAAAAAAAGGTTACCTGCTGGCCTTGGAGTCCATCTTCGAGGGGTAGGTGTGACAACAGGAGATGAGAGGCACTGTAGCAGTGGTGTCGTCCCCTGTGCATCCCCGAATGGAAGACGACGTAGAGGTCACGTATCTGTTTTTTGGTACGCATTTGTACGTGCGTATTTATTTTTATAAATTTTATTTCTATTTTTTAATGAGATTTTATCTCAAGTCCGGTTGCGAATTTCACTTTTTCCACCCAGCAAAAGTTGTTCAGTACAACAACTTCCATGAAGTTTTATCACATTTATCTTTTTCAGACATTTTGAACTTTTTCAGAATTTTATTTTTTTTTATAACTTTTGTCCCTCCCCCCCCCCCCCCCCCCCCCCCCCCCCCYCCCTCTCTCTCTCTCTCTCTCTCTCTCTCTCTCACTCTCTCTCTCTCTCTCTCTTTCTCTCTCCTTTACACCCCCCCCCCCCCCCCCTCCCCAACCCACACACACACACAGAAGTGGTGCAGCGCGGAGTACAACGCACGTACAGAAAAAAATTCATTCTTTTTTTGTGTACGCAAGAGATATCATGCTCCCATTGGGTTCTGTCGTGTTGAGAGTTCTTGGGACGACCATTGGAAATACAAAAACGACAACCTTTTGTGGGGTCTTTTCAAAATGCGTCGAAATGAGGAAGACCTCGGACAGGGGGCAGGAATCGAGTACCCGGGCTGGAAAAAGATTTCTCATCCTCGTCAAATCACAGCCAGAAGGCTCCCGCTTTCGCCGGCTGCCTTCACAGGATCGACAGGACTTCGTCACGGCGTGAAAAAAAAATAGCTTGGCAGGTGATACTTCAATACAAATGTCGAATTAGAGAAAAGGCTTCCCGGTAGAGCTTCCCGTCGTAAAGGTTAAAAAAAAAAAAAAAAAAAAAAAGAGCTTGTTGTAAAGGTCCTTGAGGATTTTGCGGCAACAAAGGGTCCGGTCTGGAAAACAATTGACCTCTAGCCTCGTACAAAAATTTGCTGTGTAGAGGGCTAGGCCTGTTTTATGGCAAAAGGTGTAGAGGTCTTTGCTGTTCGTAGTAGATAGTATATGTACTCTATGCTAGTTTATTTTTACTTTCATTCGTCCTCTCACTCAGCAGACAGACCTGTTTTAGGTAGTTGTCCACAGCTCTTGCGTTTTCTTTTATTTACTTCGCCTGAGTGGACGAGGCAGAAGGGCGATGCTGGGGTGTTCACGAGACATCCCAGTGCTTCTTTTTCATTTGGCACATTATGTCCTCCACGAGAGTAAAGCCTCACATTTTGTGCTAAACTTCTGAATCAGCTCTTGCGTTTTCTTTTATTTACTTCGGCTTCTTTTATTTACTTCGGCCTCTCACTCAACTCACTCACTCGCAGACTGCAACCGCGAGTGCCCTACCTGTACGCTGTCTTTTCAATGTTTTGAATTTCTTTCCATTAAATTCATAATCCAGAGTCCAGACCGTTCAGACTTCACCACTTTCTTTTTTTCTTCTCGCTCTGCCATTGCCGACGACCGTGTTAATTTTGTCGGAATGACCGGCATATTTTTTCTTTCTTTTTTTTTTTTTTTTTTTTTTTTTCCTTTTTTTTTGAGAATATATTTTGTATTGCCTGATACGCCTGACGTTTCAGATTTTGCAGACAAGATAGCATCCCATACCAACTCTGATACATACAGGCGGATGTCTGGTTCCACTTGGATATTTGCGGCCAATAATACATCAGCCACAAGAGCATTGGTGAGAATGAGAGGGGAAAGTCTTTGACATAGATGATATGCCAGCTCCACCAGAAACCCTGCTGTAAAGGTTAACAAACCCATAAAAAAATGCAGCAAGTCCTTAACCACCTGTGTGCAAATGAGACAAGCACCATTCACGCATTGGCTCTATCCTCTTGGTAGATTGCCATTCAGCAGTCGGTACAGCGAAATGAGAACTCAACCATAAGAGAGCTGCCTTCTTCGCCCCTTTTCTCCCACCGAGCCTTCTTTTTTTTTTTTTTTTTTCTCCCACCGAGGCTTTAGATCAGCAAGGATATCGAAAAACTGGCTCATGAAGTCGATATAAGGTTTTGGTGGTAATTTCATCAAATCTCAGTGACGTCTTCATCATTCCTTTATAGGTTCGACGTACCAGAGCGGAGGATCAAAAGTCAGATCCTGGATTGATGTGCTGAGTCTGCTGACCTTCAAAAGTGTGGTGGTTGACGGTACGAAGGGGGGGCAGTGGGATGCGGGCGGCGTCCATGATGGAACAACCAGTTCCAGTTTGACATCCCGCATAGCGGATTTTCTGTTGTTGTCTACTCTATACTTCGAATAAGAGACGCTGGACCCGCTTTCCAGCAGGTGATGCTCCCCACCAATAGATGGAGCCTCTCCCCAGGTGCTACCGGTAGTGGTGTCTGCTTTTATCAACACCACCACTAACACTGGTGGAAGAGTGTTTGCGAAAGAAAAAAAAAAAGTCGAAGCCACAGCTTTCAAATTCGTCACATTACATTTGGGACTTCACCAGTTAAGTGATACTATCAAACTCGCCCAGAAAAGAAAAAGGCCTGCAACTTCCGCCTGATCCTTATAGCTGTGTTTGGGGCAACTTTCAGTCCAGATGCAGTGATAATCGCCGGGCGTTCTAGTCAGGTGAAGGTGGGTAGTGGTTGATTGACTTGATTCTTTATGGTGGGATGTACAGATGCTGTGTGACGATCAATGACTACATTTGAGAGAAAAGAGCTGATAACAATCACACAAGCGAGCAATCAATACTGCCGACTCAGTGTCCCTCACAGCCACATATTGGGGGGAGGTGTTCTGTTTTGTTAATACTTGTTAATACTTGTTATGCAGGTCAATGATGTAAGGGATGGTGGACCCCGTTTTCAGTTCATATAATGAAAAAGGGTTTCGGCTTGGACGCAAAAAAGAAAAAAGGGCTGGTCGTTGGTTCGACATCATCGTGTGATGTGCAGATCTATGTGACCACCAACTAGCTCGCTCAGCTATGTGAAATGTTCTGATGAAGAGAACAGTTTGATGCATGAGGAGATGTCATATGAAATAAGTCCACTTCTGTCAAGAGTGCTTCTCTGCGCACACACACATGTATGCACACACACATGCGCACACCCACCGACTTAACCCCCCCCCCCCCCCCCCCCCCCCCCCCCCCCCCCCCCCCCTCTCTCCAAACACACAACACACACACAAACACATACTTCACACCTCACAAACTTCCACAGACCACATTTTAGACACATGCATAACTAATTTTAACACCTCTCCACCCCTCTCTCTCTCTCTCTCTCTCTCTCTCACACACACACACACACACACACACACACACACACACACACACACACACACACATACACACACACGCACATGCATACACATGCATGATCTCACAGTTCCCACACATGGCACACATTTCTCGCACACACATTGAGATTTGGCCATGCAGACGGAAAAGAGAAAAAAAGCAAATCTTGCAAAGGCAAAAGGAGAAAGTTAAAAAAGAGAAGCAAGCAGTTTTCTCCGTACAATGTAACACAATTTATACACCATCCCTTCATCACTGCTCCCTCTCCTCTCCCCCCATCCTCGCCCCCGCCCCATCCCATGTATCATGAAGAAGCCAACAAAAAGCAAAAGAGAAGATGGTACTTGATGGCACTT